GCTTTGGAAACATAAATGTGCCTATCCAAACAAAGTGGAAAACAATGTTTGGCCCCTATTACGTGAAAAAATTAATGGGTGAAATATTATTTTTTTGAAAAATAAGTGATTGAAAAAGAAGAAATTTTTTTCAATTTACGTGTAGTATTATTTTATGAAAGATTGTGTGGTTAAAAATATGAAAGAGAAAAATAAAATGTAATGAAATAAAAATTAATGGAACCGAACTGGGGCTTAATAGAGGAATAAATGGAAGAACATCTATAATTTATTAGCAAATAATGATTTTTGTCCTTTTCATTCTTCTTTGGGATAATTACAGCTCGCCCCCAACATGGTTATAAGATATCCACCAATTACGTACATTTTTTTTGTGACAAGTAGCCATTGCATGTGGGTTTGCAGGTTGGACTAAGCATCAACTCCTTTTCATTCTTCTTTGGGATAATTGCAGCTCGCCCCCAACATGGTTATAAGATATCCACCAATTACGTACATTTTTTTTTGTGACAAGTAGCCATTGCATGTGGGTTTGCAGGTTGGACTAAGCATCAACTCCTGTCAATGACAAACGGGACATGTAACTATCGCATTAATGGATTTTAAGTTCACTTTTCCAATATTGAACTTCTCTCTGCAACAAAACGTGCACACATCCAATCAAAAGTGGGAAAATGAAAACATAAACTACCAATAATCAAATGCATACAACCAAAAGTGATATGTCATGATCCCCTACTGATGTGATTGGAAAATAGCTCCCTAACACACGAAAAAATCTCTTGTATTTCCATGCTAATAAATTTTCGATTTCCACATTAACACCGAACTAAAGATTATTAAATTCGATAAAATCAATAGCATGTTTCTAAAACATTTGATCATAAAATATTGAATTCTAAATCCTATATTTCAATGTACCAAATATGTCGTAAATCTTGAGTTTAATTTCCATTTCATAATGTATACAAAGTTTATGACAACTTAATTAAGTGTATTATCTTAGAACTTGTTTGGTACAGATTTTAAATCAATTAAAATCAATTTTTTTATTGTTATTTAACTATTCTAGCGTTATTTTTGAATTTTTCTCTTATAGATGAGACCCACTTTATTTCTAACGGTCAAAAAATTAATTATCAAAATCCCTACCAAACAAGTACTTATTAGTATCATAATATGTTTCTTTCTTTCTTTTTTTTTTTTACTAAAAAGGTAAACATAGGAAACATCAGCTCATCTTATCTCCAAAAGCCAAAAAGAAAAAAAGAACATGAATATTTTCAACTAAAAAGCATTATATACACCTACATGATAATAATAATGATTTAAAAATAACATAGGATTCTTTATTGAAATATTACATTTCAAGTTCACAATTGAAAGTATAACATCGAACCATTTATGTTACAAAAGGATTTTTGTCTGTCTAAATCTTTGAATGTACTTTTGTAAATGTGGGGGTGATGGCATGCATGGCAGGACAATTCCACACAAAGCAATAGAGATTGACCCCTCATAAATTCTTTACATGAAAAATGTTATCACTATCAACTAGGAGGATTGTCAAGAAAGAAAAACAGCACATTTTTGCACAATTACCTACTCCCCCTTTTGGTTTCTACTTTAAAAATGGTTTATATCCCAAAATAAGAAAAATTTGACGGGGATTAACTAAGATTTTTTTTTCTTTTTTAATTCCTATATCCCAAAATAAAAAATAATTGTTTTGGTTTAACTAAGGTAAACGTATGTCTATAAAAAGTGTTTATATCTCAAAATAAGAAATAATTGTTTAAATTTTCATAAAATAAATATATATTTTTTTTAATTATAACTTTGTCTTGAATATATCCGTTTACGTATGAGTAAGGTTTATGAAAACATCAGAGAAAGAAATTAGTTGAGTAAATTTAAGGTGGAACTCATGAAATTTTTAAAGTACTAAATACGTGTTGAATTATCCATCCTATATAATTATTGAGCAGAACTTATGTCACAGGTAATGTCGGACAGTTATTTATGGACAGATAGAGGCAATTTTTAAATGAGCCTCAAGACTATTCACTTTCCATCAAAGTGTGTAGTTAAGAAACGGTTACATCTCAATGGACCAATTAAATTTTCAAATTATAAAATCACTTTAATTAGTTCCTAAATAATATTAAATGGCCACTACTATTTCCTTAACAGTTAATTTAGTCAACTAAATTCAATATCCATGTCAGTAAAGCTATCCAACTAGGATGGAACAATGTGAACTTTGACTTTCATAGGCATTTAAATCTTTCTTTTACCCTTACAAGTCACATAATAGTTTATGAACCAAAACTTGGATCACTCTTATGTCCTCTTTATAATGCCTCATTATAATATGTTAATTTAATTTGTCTGTATTTTTGCCATTAAGCAGGATAATGTCGAGTCACATGTATTTTTTAAACGATGATTAACATACAATATATATAGGTATTTTATTTGGAATTGAATTGGTTGTCAATTAAAATGAAATAAAATGGGTGGAGAACCAAAATGTTTTACTTTTTTTTTTATCATTTGTTAAATGTAATGATTGTATATTGATGTAGTAGTCTGTTAAATGTTCAATATTTTCATCAATTAGAAAAATTAGAGTTTGTGTTGTTTTTGTTATATCATTTTCCTGCAAATGAAATAAGTTTGTTATTCATAATAACCAATTGTTTTTTGTGAGATAATAAATATTCCATATAAATATAAACTAATAATTTTTTTTGTAAAACAAAATTGATATGAGAGTAATTAACTTGTGTATAAAGATTAAACCACAAAGATCTTGACAACCGTAGCTATATGTCCTTATATGATCTTCAGGCAGCTATGTAGCCTGTTTTAAGCAGCTAGAGCTGCCAAAAATATTTTTAAAATTTAAATTTATTTGTTAAAAAAAAAATTTACACGAAATTTTAATTTATATGTGCAATTTTAATTTCGCATACGTTGAGTTGTAACTTTTATTTAATATACAATTTATATAAATTGCACATATTTTAATTTGTTTAAAAAATTTTTAGAATACAACGAATTAAAGAAAGAGCCTACCTGGCTAGGCTCGAGCCGAAAGCCCGAACCAGGCTTCAATTTTCGGACTTAGCTAGAGGCCAAAAAAGTCCGAATCATTTTCATTCGTACTGAGCCTAACCCCAACTTTCGAGTTCTAACTTGCGAGTCGGCTTAATTCGTTGACATCCCTAGTTGGCACTATGTTCCGCAGACAAGTAGTTATTCAACATACCTTTTTCATGTTTTAAATTTTAACGTCATGTGGGAGTATTAGCGTACTAATGTAAACGTGGGAGTGATGTGATGCCGCGTGCATGGCAGGATGATCTTCTATCCCAATACGTGTTCACCTTCCCAAACTTTTATTGACCACGATTCCAACTTCATTTCAAAATTGTGTGTATATATGGCATTTAAATTCCATTTGTATTATAATTTTTTAGAATTTTTAGTTCAAAAAAATGATATTATTGTATAATTTAAACGTTCTCATGTTAAATTTTGTAAGGTAAATATAAATGTATGCATATCATACTTCGTGATTAGAAATGTTTAAAGTTTGTAATTAGATTGATAAATGGTGATTTGAAGAAACAATATTTTACTGTGGTTTGGTAGATTTTATATAAAACAAAGGATAAAAACAATGAAGAGCAACTTTAATGGACAATATGGCCGAAGGAGAAAACAGTAATTTATTCAAAAATTAAAAGTGGACAATGCAGGCTATTGTATTATAATTAATTGGAAGCTTTTTCTTGCCCCATATTGTGGTACATATTCATCATTTTAGATATCTTACACCACCTTTGATAGCTTACATTGTCGTGAAGATTGTAGTAGCTTCTCGAAATTTTGTACATGTCGGTAGCTTCCTAGTCATCCATCCACGTTTTTATGATGAAATGGATATTGACTAGTAATATGGTGAAAGGGATATGAAACAAGCATTATAAGCAGGGACGGATTCAAGATTGGATCCACGACCGGGCTACAAAATTTCAAACTGGGTTACTACGTGGGAAAAAAATTTTACACATAAAAAATTGATTTGTTTACCCCAAAAAAAATAAAAAATACCTTAAAAAAAATTCTTGCACCTGGGGGTGGGGGTGCTACAGCCCAGTCCACCCCCCCCCCCCCCCTGTAAAAAAAAAATTTAGAGTTATGCATTTGACTAATAACTGTTTCGGAGTCCACCATCTTATAGTCTAGGATCTCGCCGACAATGAATTTTTTAGCTTCGGCATCCTCAGTTTTATATTTCCGGTCCAAAGACTACCACAGCTCCTTAGTGGTTTTCATAGTACTATACACATTGTACAGCGAATCTGCTAACCTGTTTATAATATAGTTTCGGCACAAGAAGTCCGAATGCTTCCACGCATCAAGTGCACTAACTGCTTGCACATTTCCTTTACCCTCATTGAGTTTTGGAGTAGTCTCAGTCAAGAATCTCGCAAGATTCAAGGTGGTCAGATAAAATAGCATTTTCTGCTGCCACCTCTTGAAATTCAAGCTATTGAATTTCTCCGATTTTTCTCCATGATTAACCTGCACAGTTGGAGCCATAGTTTGACTCATAACATGACTTGGCAATTTAGCCACAATTTGTGCCATAACAGAGCTTGGCCCTTGAGCTACAGTAGAGCCCACAGCCTAATTTTCAGCAGGAGCAATTTGGGTCACATCCATGTTGGTTGGTTCGGTAACCATTTCTGAAAATGAAACAAATACTAGTTTCTAATAAACAAATTGTTTATTTTAATAGAATAAAATAAACAATTTATTTACTAACAATATGTATACAATATGTTTTAAGTTTGTTGAAAATTATGTTGGTGGAATGATACCGGGTTTTCTCATACTGGTTTATAATATTAGTTAATTACACATTAAACTAAATTATCATAAACCACAATATATTAATCTAATTTAGAACTAAATTATATTAAGTTATGACTGGTCTTGACAGGGCGATGGCTTCTATGTTTTACAAGAGTGACTCGAGCTCTGCAGCTTTGATGACCAATTCATCTGGCATAAGAAAGATTCTTCCTAAGTCTGAAATATGTGATTTTCAATTTGAGTCCTGTGGTTATTCCATGAATTCCATTGAAGAGGCTGCAATTTCCAATATTCATGTTACTCCGGAGGATGGTTTTAGTTATGCCAGCTTTGAAGTAGCTGGTTACAATTTGAAAGAGGTGAATCTGAGCCAGCTGATTGAGAGGGTTTTGGCATGCTTCCATCCTAAGGAGTTTTCCATTGCCGTGCATGCTGACATTGGTGAAATGTTGTTTGATAACATTTACTCTTACGACCTAAAGGGTTACTCAGTCAATCTGGAATGCTATGAGGACCTGGGTTTGGGCGGTGCTGTTGTCTACAGGAAGTTTGCATAGACTGCTTGTGTTATGTTTTACTGTTAGGACAAAGTCTAAGTTGTAGGTTAGTTAAATGTCATTGACCTGCTCATTGTGGTAATTTGAATCAACCTGGCACCTTTGCTTGGATAAATGAATATGTTATTTGCAAAATGCATGCAATTGTTACCAGATGTTTTTCTTTCTTTTTGTTCTTCGCCAATTTGTTTTAAAATTCCCCAACAAAATGAACTTCCAGACTATTTTCGATAATGGATCCATGTTGCAAACTACTCTGATCTTCCTCGTATGAATCAGTATCAGCACTTCAAACATTTTTCTTATTAAATAGCTATCTGAAACATTTCCTAGTATTCCCGCATTACAGGCATGGTGCACTTGTAAGTAGTATGGAAGAAAAATGTAAAGAAACAAAAAGGGGATTTTTAAATAGCCATAATAGATATCATATTACCGAAATATATAAATGCATCCATGGTAAGAAAATACTCATTGGAAAATACAGATTGACTTCAAAATCTGATTATAACTTCCAAGGATGATGTTTTGGAATGCCAGCACTGAACCTCCATCTTCGGTGATTATAGAAGTAATGGACCTACATTTTCATTTATCTTTTGCTGCAAATTATGAATATCATTTGAGTGCTCAGCAAGAGCAGTCTTCTCAAGTGTACTTGAGATAATTTTTTTGTTCTTAGAAGTAGTTGATCCAAGAGTTGATTTCTTCAATCACCTCGACAGAAGTTTTATGATGTAGAATAAGGCAATAATGAAGCGAGAAAGAAATAATTGGTTTGGTTTGGTTAAACTAAGGTAAACCTGTGTCTATAAAAAGTGTTTATATCCCAAAATAAGAAATAATTGTTTAAAATTTCATAAAATAAATAAAAAAATTATTTATTATATAGACTAATGCTTTAGCACTACTTTTGCTATATAACAAATAAAGTCATATTTAGTAGGCAGTAATTAATGTTTTCTTTGGAATTAAGGGAAGATGTGGATACATTAACAATTTTTCCATTTTATTGTATCTACGATTGAGCGAAGATTGCAAAGGCCGTACATAGAGAAATTTAAACATATAAGAACTCTACTATTAATGTAAATGACTAATCTCCGAAGATACTTAAGTAAATACAGCATGCTAATTAGTTAACTTACTTCATATATCACTCGATTTTCGACTCCTTTGATAGAACTCATATATTGAAACCTAGTTTGCTCCGATTCAATCACTATTAAACGCGACGGTTTAATAATTTCCTAGACTGCTAGTCAAATCATTTCTAGTAAATCTTTTATTGGGAAGGAATGTTCGGAGATTTATTTTTTTTTTTTTTTTATCTTTTGAAGAGTTTTTCAAAGGATTTTCCTTTGTAAACAAATCTCTTGTTGATTTTCTTTACTGAGTTGATCTATATGTTTGATTAACTTTTAGGGTTTAATTTAATTAAATTTTACCTAAATGTAATAATTTGTGACTTGTTTCATGTTATAGTTTGTTTAGTTTTATTTTCGCATATTACATCTATACACCCCTCTGAGTGTTAGTTGGATCGAACCTCATTTATTTCACAAAACATTGTGCATTCAGAGTTCTCAACTCTCACTGAAAAACTACTTGGAGGATTGTCGGGGAGAAAAATCTGAACACATTTACCCAATTCACCCTTTGATTTCCCGGATAAAAATGGTTTATATCCCGATAAAAGAAGTAATTGATGTTGATTAACTAAGAATTGTTATTTAAATTCCTACGAAAATTGGTTATATCCCAAAATAAGATATAATTGGTGTGGTTTAATTCTACTAAGATCTTTTCTCCCTATTATTTTAGAACAATAGTTTTATTTTAACTTGAATAGCATCACAATAAACTTACTTGCCGTGTAATGGTGACCTTGAATCACCTTAATTATATAAAAGCTTAAGTTATTATAAAATAAATAAAAATTTATTTATTATAATTTTTTTTTTCATATATCCATTCACGTGAAACTAATGTTTTCAAACACTAGAGAGAGAGAGAAATTAGTTGAGTATATTTAGAATGAAACTAATGAAAATTTTAAAGTATTAAATACATGTTAAATATACGAGAGACAAGAAATGAAAACAAACAACACAATACTGAAAAGATAGAATTGATATATAACAATTTTAAAAAAAAATAAATAATTCAATTGAATTTATTATAGCAAATAATGACATTAAACTTCACTTCTTTAAAGCACATTTTAATCTCCAAAAAAGCAATAGAGATTGACCCCTCATAAATTCTTTACATGAAAAATGTTATCACTATCAACTAGGAGGATTGTCAAGAAAGGAAAACCCGAACATATTTGCACAATTACCTACTCCTCCATTTGGTTTCTCCTTTAAAAAAAATGGTTTATATCCCAAAACAAGAAAAAATTGACGGGGATTAACTAAGATTATTATTATTATTATTTTTAAATTCCTATATCCCAGAATAAGAAATAATTGGTTTGGTTAAACTAAGGTAAACCTGTGTCTATAAATAGTGTTTATATCCCAAAATAAGAAATAATTGTTTAAAATTTCATAAAATAAATAAAAAATTATTTATTATAATTTTGTCTTAAATATATCCGTTTACGTATGAGTAAGGTTTATGAAAACATGAGAGAAAGAAATTCGTTGAGTAAATTTAAAGTGGAACTCATGAAATTTTTAAAGTACTAATTACGTGTTGAATTATCCGTCCTATATAATTATTGAGCAGAGCATATGTCACAGGTAATGTAGGACAATTATTTATGGACAGATAGAGGCAATTTTTAAATGAGCCTCAAAACTATTCACTTTCCATCAAAGTGTGTAGTTAAGAAACGGTTACTTCTCAATGGACCAATTAAATTTTCAAATTATAAAATCACTTTAATTAGTTCCTAAATAATATTAAATGGCCACGATTATTTCCTTAACAGTTAATTTAGTCTACTAAATTCAATATCCATATCAGTAAAATTATCCAACTAGGATGGAACAATGTGAACTTTGACTTTCATAGGCATTTAAATCTTTCTTTCGCCCTAACAAGTCACATAATAGTTTATGAACCAAAACTTGGATCACTCTTATGTCCTCTCTAGAATGCCTCATTATAATATGTTAATTTAATTTCTCTGTATTTTTGCCACTAAGCAGGATAATATTTAGTCACATGTATTTTTTAACTATAATAAATAATATATATATATATTTTTTAAAAAAAGGTATTGTATTTGGAATCGAATTGGTTGTCAATTAAAATGAAACGAAATGGTTGGAGAACCAAAATGTTTTACTTTTTTATCATTTGTTAAATATGAATCGAAATATAATGATTGTATATTGATGTAGTGGTCTGTTAATTGTTCAATATTCTTATCAATTAGAAAAATTAGAATTTGGGTGTTGTTTTTGTTATTTCGTTTTCCTTCAAATGAAATAAGTTTGTTATTCATAAAAACCAATTGTTTTGTGTGATATAATAAATATTCTATATAAATATAAACTAATAATTTTTTTGTAAAACAAAATTGTTATGAGAGTAACTTGTGTGTAAAGATTGAACCAAAGATCTTGACAACCGTAGCTATATGTCCTTATAAAGATTAGTCCTTATTCCAATTTCTGTGGGGTTGCACATTACTGTCCTTGTATGACAATTTGCTTGGGGGGTGCACATGTTGTCCTTATATGATTCCAATTTGTCTGGAGTGCACATTGTAGATATGGTAATGTTGCAGGCAGCTGCAGCTATCTCTAAGCAACAGGCGGCTTAAACAGGTAGCTAATAGCTGCCTATCTACCTGCACAAGCTGTTGTGTAATTGAAATTATTATCTTGAGGCAGCTATTCAACTGCCTGTTTTAGGCAACTATAACTGCCAAAAATAGTTTTTAATTTTTAATTTATCTGTTTAAAAAAAAAATTTACACGAAATTTTAATTTATATGTGCAATTTTAATTTCGTGTACATGATGTAACTTTTATTTAATCTACAATTTATATAAATTGCACATATTTTAATTTGTTTAAATTTTTTTTAGAATACAACAAATTAAAAAAAAAAAGAACATGCTCGGCTAGGCCCGAACCGAAGGGCTGAACTTTTCCGGCCGAGCAAGAGGCCAAAAAAGTTCGAGTCATTTTCATCCGTGCCGAGCCCGACCCCAACCTTCAAGTTTCAACTCGCTAGTCGGTTTAACTCGCTTACATCCCTACTTCGCACTGTGTTTAGTAACGTGATCAACATGAGATGTATGGAATAAGTGGACTGCCACATCATTATATACACACACACATGGAGGCGTAAAAGTAATTATAGTTCTGTAGACAAGTAGCCATTAAACATACGTTTTTCATGTTTTAAATTTCAATGTATCCAAAAGTATTAGGGAAAATTGCAGTAGCGGTCCCTAACATTTCATTTTTTTGCAAACTTTATCATAACATTTATTTTGTGCCATCCATAGTCCCGAAACTTTCAAAAATATGCACCCGGCGTCCAAATGGATGGAATTTGACTGTTAGTTGACCAAGAGAGTGGACTTTGACCTATTTTGACCAAATTGAAAGGGATAAAATTATAACTTTACTATATTAACCATAAAATTATTTAAAAATTAATTTTAAAAAAATTAAAAACAATAGAAAATGAAACTCATCTTCTTTACCCCACCCCATCCCATTTCATCCCTATCCCACCAAAATTGAAATTGGAAAAACTACTTGCCTTTGTTGCCACTGCCACCACAGCCAATCTCAAACAACACCAGGAGTAATATTACCAAAAAATTACAGAATGAAACCTAAAAATCAATTAGCAGAAGCAAATATTTGAATTATTTGTATGTCTTTCGGAGAAAAATTGGCAACGATTTTTCACCGTCAGTTAATTGATTAACTGGAACCAGTTGAAAATGGTGAAAACCTCCGAATTTGCACGCGTTGAGTTATCAGAAAAACCATCCCCATGCTAAGTCGCCAATTCAATGATTTCAAACCCTCGCCAACTATCTCAGAGCCTTTCCCGCATAACCTTCGTTTCAGAGCCTTCGACAACGCCTCCATCTTCGTTGCGTCAAAGAACACGTTCGATATGAGCACCGAATTCACCTCTTCCAACCCATCAAGTTGAGCACCAAATCCACCTTCCCATACATATTAACTTACTGAGACTCTATCTCCTAGTGGAAAGGATCGGAGCAGAGTCCCAAATTCAACCAGTAGGGTAGGCGTAGGGATGGGGATGGGAGTGGTGGAGCGAGGGGCGGTGGTTTTTTGGGTTTCAATTTGGGTAGGATAGGGGGTGAGGTGAAGAAATGAGTTTCATTTTCCATTATTTTTTAATTTTTTAAAATTTAATTTTAAAATTATTTTATGGTTAAATATAGTAAAGTTACCATTTTATCCCTTTCAATTTGATCAAAATAGGCCAAAGTCCATTTTTATTGGTCAACTAACTGTCAAATGGATGGGAACCCCGGTGCATATTTTTGAAAGGTTCGGGACTGGATGACACAAAGTGAAGGTTAGGGTAAAGTTTGCAAAAAAATTGAAAGGTTTGGGACTACTGTTACAATTTTTCTAAAGTATTACTGTAGTTCGTCTCTCTAAACCTTTGAATGTATTGATGTAAATGTGGGGGTGGTGTGATGGCACATGCATGGCAAGACAATCTTCTATCCCAATACATGTTCACCTTCCCGAACTTTTATTGACCACCATTCCCACTTCATTTCAAAATTGTGTATATTTGTGGCATTTAAATTCCAATTATATTATAAAGTGTCTTAAATTTTTAGAGAATGTGATTTCAAAAATGCTATTGTTATACAATTTAACAGCCATGCTATATTGACAGGGAAATTTGACAGGTCAGTGATCAACAACACTTGTGATTCATTCATTGGAAGATGGATGTTCAAAAAATAAAATAACAGATAAAACAGAATCTGCTATATTATCCTTGTCAATTTTCCCTGTCCCATTTTCCTACCCGAGTAGATTAATTCATAATTTAAATGTTCTCATATTAAAATTTGTATGGTAAATATAAATGTACGCATGCCACTACCTATATGTGTGGTACGATATCATACTACGTGATTAGAAATGTTTAAAGTTTGTAGTTAGATTGATATATGGCGATATGAAGAATCAATATTTTACTGTGGTTTGGTAGATTTTATACAAAACAAAAATTCTAAGGATAAAAACAATGAAGAGCAATTTTAATTGACAATATAGCTGAAGGAGGAAACAATAATTTATTCAAAAATTAAAAATATTTGTTGACGAAGAAAACCCCTTACGGAATTAAAAACTCCGAGCTCAAATTAGTATGAATCCACTATAAACAAATCACTTATAGTGCTGCCATACTTGGCCAATACACATACTTTCTGACCTCCTAACTGTAATTCTTCAAAGCCCTCTTGGATTGCGTGCACCTGTACCAACTCCCGACTTTTTGATTTCGTCTATCTCTTGTGGGTTCCCAAGAACTCCTTGTCCCCAACAATAGGAACTCTGGCCACCTTCATTGATCTTCAACCTTTGATAGATACTTCGAAAGTATGGGTTTTGGTGTTTGATTCATGGACTTTTTATTTTTGTCAATTGTAATAGTCAAGCATGTAAGGATTGAAAGATATGAATGAAGTATACAAAATTTCTAAAAATTTTCAATCCTTAGAATTTCGTGAAGAGGTGCAGGTATTTATATAGTGGATGTTTTGGGTAGTATGGGCCTATTAAAATTCTCGAAAATAAAAAATTAGGGTTTCTCAATATGCACCATCGCTCATATACAAAATTTTTCACAATGTTCAATCCTTAGAATTTCGTGAAGAGGTCCAGGTATTTATATAGTGAATGTTTTGGGTAGTATGGGCATGTTAAAATTCTCAAAAATCAAAAATTAGGGTTTTTGAGTATGCACCGTCGCTCGAAAGAAAGCTCAGCTACAAGTGAGCAACAATGTTTTGCTTGAGCGAAGGCCTAGCGACAAGCTAGCGAAGTCCATTATGTTTTTGTTGCTCGAGCAACAACTTGGTAGTAGGCTAGCGAAATTTCGACAACCTTTCTTGTGTTACAAAGAATGACTTTTAACTTATTTAAATAACCAACCACTCGACCCTTTGACTTTTTAAAATATTTTAACTATATTTTTGTTCACAAACTGCCAACAACATTAAAACCTAGCAATCAACATTTTAATTAAGTATTGATTAGAATATAACATAAATTTATTTACCATCATGTAATATATATGTACTGGATTTCGAATAATTGCTCACAAACTCTACAGGAAGTCCAAGAGAGATACCTTCAAGACACCATGTCGAACCATGAATACAAAAATATGATAAACCAATTTTGATAGTTTGCTATTTAGTTTTTAAATGTTAAAATATTGTAAAAATGCATAGTGTAACATGGTTAAAGGAACCATTTCTTTTCAATGGAATCTGTGAGACCTATTTGCTTCTTTTACAACTTATTCCACCCGGTTTTGTATACTATTTCATTCCATAAGTTCCTTTGATTGTTATACATCACTATGTTATAGATTCTCTCTCAAATGACAAATCCATCACATTCCTACACAGTTGTGCAAAGATTTTTTTATGTCTAGTAAAAGATGAAAAAAAATAAAAATAAAGAAAAAGAACTAACAACATTTCGCAACATGTTTCATTCAATAAATTATATGTATGTTATAAAAGAATATGTTAGTGTTATTCTCAAAAATGTGAACGCAATGACATATTATGTTCTGATACATTGGTTTAAATATTTTCGTGTGTGAGTTACTACGTAATTGCATGAACACGAGGCCGTGGCATGTTTTATGACATTACTTACATCTTCTATTGCGAGAAACTCAGTTGTGTCTTAAACCATGTATTAAAAATGTGCAGCAATTTCTAATACATTATTGTGTATATTTTGATGATATATATGAGGAACAGATACTAGATGCAATAAACGGTGCACGTAATGTGTTACATGATGTACTAGAATGCCCTTACGTATGGATGACAAGTTATTTTCTGTGGGACTTTTTCATGTCTATTGATAACTGATTATTGAGACGAATAGTTAAGAGAATTTAATAGTACAATTTTCTCTTCGGTTTAAGGAGCAACAACAATTGTAATTGCAATTGGTATCCCGTAGTTATACAGAAGTTTTACTTGGTGCCTAAAATATTTTAATCATTTTTTTTGTTATGAAAAAATTCCAATTTATTGCAATTGGATACGAAATGATGTCCAATGATCATTATGTTATTTCAAGTCAATTATTGCGAAACAAATATCTAGTCATTTAATTCATCTACACTAATGAGCAGCCTCTATTTATAGTGTAGCAAAATGAGATTTTTATTCAATGAGAAATTCAAGTCAGTCACGTTACACATACCAGAGTTCTTTCGTACTGTCTGATAATAAAATCAAATTTCTATTCTGTACAAGACAATCCTAATTTAAATTCTAACATATGGAAATAAACAAAGCTAAAGATGAGTGCAATAACAAACTTTTTTTTGTCAACCAACTAGAGTAACAAGAACAGTCCCATAGCTCTATAATACTGTGAAAGATGTCAATAGGTGGACAACATCAAAAAAGAAGAATAACGAATCAGATGAGAAAAATGTGTTTTGCACCAGAAGAAAAAGCAAATGAAAGTATAATTAAATGTAAAAAGAACAGGATATACTGCTATTAATTGTCTAAGAGCATTGATGTTACTTTTTGCTCTTAGTATTCACTGAGGACACAGGTGTCTGCAGTTATCCTTCGGGGAATTCAAGGAGAACAAATCAGTTCATCCATTGCTCATCAATTCTCTAGCAGTGTCCATGAGAATTGAGAGCCACAATTGCTATCCATATCTAACTGTCCATTCCACTCATCGGCTGTTTCAGTGTGCATATACTGCAACCATTGCTATCCATATCCGGCGGGCCATTTTTGTCATCGATCAGAATGTTATTTCTGGAGGAAGATGATATATCTGGAAGTCCATTTAGTCATAAGATAACTTCTGGAAGTCTCGGTTTACTACTACTGTGAAGGAAGAGCTGTCTAGGTATGTTGAATTTATGGAAATTTGATGCTTCATCAGGTTGTGCAAATGTTAAGGATCCCGAAAATGCTAGCAAAGGTTCTGCTCGAAAATCTTGATTTTTGCCATCTCTTTGCTTCACTGTTCTCATTTCTTCTAGTAAAGCTTCACTGGTTTCGATACCTGTTCAATTTTGATGACAAATATAAAACAGACTTTCTGTTCCGATACAAATGATAGTTCTTAAAGATTGCTTTCTCCACGTTGGAAAATGTCTAGTATATTGTATACCTGAAAGGTAAGCTCCATGCACATAGCCATTAAATTTTTCGTTTGTATGTTCCCCAGTGAAATATATCCGTCCAAGTGGTGCCTGAACAAAAAAATTTATAAGGAAAACCAGGTAAGACATTGCATAAATATGGAGGCTCCACCTCTGAATTGCATTCTTCTGAACATCTTGTCATTACTTGATATATCCCACTAATTTCTCACTTCTATCTTTTTTTACCTTAAGTTGGTACTTTTGCTAAAGTAGGTGGATTCCGGCCACTTAAATTAAATACTTATTTGTAATTATAAGGTTCATTGGTCATTGCATTAAGTGCATCATCAATTTTACAAGTTTTCAAAGAATGGAAGTAAATTCAAACCTTAATATCATCTAAGAGTTGATGATTAATGTAGATAGGATAATTGCTGTAGCTACCACGTTGGAAGCGATTGCTCCACCACCGCGGCACGAGTATGGCAATGGCAATGGCAATTGGAATGTCAGGTCCAAACATCTTCCTTGGTACTTCCATTGCTTCTATCATGGTTTGTTGATCTGATTGAGCTTCAACACGTTTTGATTCTCCATTTGTCAATGTTACGACAAGGATATTAGACCCTGGATACGCATTCTCCATATGCTGATAACATGGCAACAGATAAAGAGTCATTTTTGTTTTTAATTTAATTGTGAATGACTTGATAAGCTATGCACATACATGTTCTCGATAATAAAGAATTATAAGTCGATTTACGATATTATATGGCTGGAAGGCATGATTATTAACTTGATTGTCGGTAATGTGATAGGCCCCCAATCCGGTTCACCTATGCGAGAAAGGAGAAAAAGAAGGGCACATCCAATATAGAAGGCGGCTAGGACATTTAGTTTATTAGCCAGGGGTAAAAGAGTAATAAATTGTAGTAGGAGAACTCCAATAAATAGAAAGGGGGTTGGCAAGTTTGGCGCAGCGAACCACTGGGAATTCAGTTAGGGGGGGAGAGATCGGGCCTCTCTAATAGCCTTGGAATTTGTTATTTCCATTTAGTTGAGTATACAGAATTCAGTTTCATTATTCTTATCTTTCATAATCACATCTACATATCCATATACATTCCTTATAGCAATATTTCTTTCTTTTGAATTCACTCACTAATCTCTCCTCAATCTCGTGTCTCGGACGTGGAAGCATCACATAGGAGGCAGTACAGATCAGTTTCAGCGGCATAAGACTAGCAGCAATCTCAGGTTCTTAACATAATGACGATAGAATAGAATCCCATGAAGCATACAGAACAAGCCTTTCGTAAGTATAAACATACTGGTTTTAGTTGGTTGAAGAATTTATAATCTTAAACATAGGACTCTCATCCTATGTCATTCTCTCACGACAGTGCAAAGAACAAATAGACATTAGCTGCTGCTACTGGCCAACTATATGTTGCAAAAAAAGTTACACAAAATAGAGAATACACACATGAAGAAAAATAAGCATATTTGTCGAATAAGCTTAAAAGCCCCTTCCAGCAACCTCATACACAAGGCTGGGAAAGAAATAAATGCTCTATAATTAGTAAAATGTGTGTAGATGTTGTGATTGATGTGGGATAGTCTCCTTTCACTTTTAATTTTTGTACGGTTTAAGGATAGATCCTTTTATGTCCCATTGTAACTCTAGATACCAACTACTCAAGGCAAATGAGGACAATTATTTATGGACAGATAGAGGCAATTTTTAAATGAGCCTCAAAACTATTCACTTTCCATCAAAGTGTGTAGTTAAGAAACGGTTACTTCTCAATGGACCAATTAAATTTTCAAATTATAAAATCACTTTAATTAGTTCCTAAATAATATTAAATGGCCACGATTATTTCCTTAACAGTTAATTTAGTCTACTAAATTCAATATCCATATCAGTAAAATTATCCAACTAGGATGGAACAATGTGAACTTTGACTTTCATAGGCATTTAAATCTTTCTTTCGCCCTAACAAGTCACATAATAGTTTATGAACCAAAACTTGGATCACTCTTATGTCCTCTCTAGAATGCCTCATTATAATATGTTAATTTAATTTCTCTGTATTTTTGCCACTAAGCAGGATAATATTTAGTCACATGTATTTTTTAACTATAATAAATAATATATATATATATTTTTTAAAAAAAGGTATTGTATTTGGAATCGAATTGGTTGTCAATTAAAATGAAACGAAATGGTTGGAGAACCAAAATGTTTTACTTTTTTATCATTTGTTAAATATGAATCGAAATATAATGATTGTATATTGATGTAGTGGTCTGTTAATTGTTCAATATTTTTATCAATTAGAAAAATTAGAGTTTGGGTGTTGTTTTTGTTATTTCGTTTTCCTTCAAATGAAATAAGTTTGTTATTCATAAAAACCAATTGTTTTGTGTGATATAATAAATATTCTATATAAATATAAACTAATAATTTTTTTGTAAAACAAAATTGTTATGAGAGTAACTTGTGTATAAAGATTGAACCAAAGATCTTGACAACCGTAGCTATATGTCCTTATAAAGATTAGTCCTTATTCCAATTTCTGTGGGGTTGCACATTACTGTCCTTGTATGACAATTTGCTTGGGGGGTGCACATGTTGTCCTTATATGATTCCAATTTGTCTGGAGTGCACATTGTAGATATGGTAATGTTGCAGGCAGCTGCAGCTATCTCTAAGCAACAGGCGGCTTAAACAGGTAGCTAATAGCTGCCTATCTACCTGCACAAGCTGTTGTGTAATTGAAATTATTATCTTGAGGCAGCTATTCAACTGCCTGTTTTAGGCAACTATAACTGCCAAAAATAGTTTTTAATTTTTAATTTATCTGTTTAAAAAAAAAATTTACACGAAATTTTAATTTATATGTGCAATTTTAATTTCGTGTACATGATGTAACTTTTATTTAATCTACAATTTATATAAATTGCACATATTTTAATTTGTTTAAATTTTTTTTAGAATACAACAAATTAAAAAAAAAAAGAACATGCTCGGCTAGGCCCGAACCGAAGGGCTGAACTTTTCCAGCCGAGCAAGAGGCCAAAAAAGTTCGAGTCATTTTCATCCGTGCCGAGCCCGACCCCAACCTTCAAGTTTCAACTCGCTAGTCGGTTTAACTCGCTTACATCCCTACTTCGCAGTGTGTTTAGTAACGTGATCAACATGAGATGTATGGAATAAGTGGACTACCACATCATTATATACACACACACATGGAGGCGTAAAAGTAATTATAGTTCTGTAGACAAGTAGCCATTAAACATACGTTTTTCATGTTTTAAATTTCAAAGTATCCAAAAGTATTAGGGAAAATTGCAGTAGCGGTCCCTAACCTTTCATTTTTTTGCAAACTTTATCATAATATTTATTTTGTGCCATCCATAGTCCCGAAACTTTCAAAAATATGCACCCGGCGTCCAAATGGATGGAATTTGACTGTTAGTTGACCAAGAGAGTGGACTTTGACCTATTTTGACCAAATTGAAAGGGATAAAATTGTAACTTTACTATATTAACCATAAAATTATTTAAAAATTAATTTTAAAAAAATTAAAAACAATAGAAAATGAAACTCATCTTCTTTACCCCACCCCATCCCATTTCATCCCTATTCCACCCGGTTTTGTATACTATTTCATTCCATAAGTTCCTTTGATTGTTATACATCACTATGTTATAGATTCTCTCTCAAATGACAAATCCATCACATTCCTACACAGTTGTGCAAAGATTTTTTTATGTCTAGTAAAAGATGAAAAAAAATAAAAATAAAGAAAAAGAACTAACAACATTTCGCAACATGTTTCATTCAATAAATTATATGTATGTTATAAAAGAATATGTTAGTGTTATTCTCAAAAATGTGAACGCAATGACATATTATGTTCTGATACATTGGTTTAAATATTTTCGTGTGTGAGTTACTACGTAATTGCATGAACACGAGGCCGTGGCATGTTTTATGACATTACTTACATCTTCTATTGCGAGAAACTCAGTTGTGTCTTAAACCATGTATTAAAAATGTGCAGCAATTTCTAATACATTATTGTGTATATTTTGATGATATATATGAGGAACAGATACTAGATGCAATAAACGGTGCACGTAATGTGTTACACGATGTACTAGAATGCCCTTACGTATGGATGACAAGTTATTTTCTGTGGGACTTTTTCATGTCTATTGATAACTGATTATTGAGACGAATAGTTAAGAGAATTTAATAGTACAATTTTCTCTTCGGTTTAAGGAGCAACAACAATTGTAATTGCAATTGGTATCCCGTAGTTATACAGAAGTTTTACTTGGTGCCTAAAATATTTTAATCATTTTTTTTGTTATGAAAAAATTCCAATTTATTGCAATTGGATACGAAATGATGTCCAATGATCATTATGTTATTTCAAGTCAATTATTGCGAAACAAATTTCTAGTCATTTAATTCATCTACACTAATGAGCAGCCTCTATTTATAGTGTAGCAAAATGAGATTTTTATTCAATGAGAAATTCAAGTCAGTCACGTTACACATACCAGAGTTCTTTCCCAATTGTAATTGCAATTGGTATCCCGTAGTTATACAGAAGTTTTACTTGGTGCCTAAAATATTTTAATCATTTTTTTTGTTATGTTTTTCTTGCATAATCACAAATATAGCACGTCCAGAAAAAATTCCAATTTATTGCAATTGGATACGAAATGATGTCCAATGATCATTATGTTATTTCAAGTCAATTATTGCGAAACAAATATCTAGTCATTTAATTCATCTACACTAATGAGCAGCCTCTATTTATAGTGTAGCAAAATGAGATTTTTATTCAATGAGAAATTCAAGTCAGTCACGTTACACATACCAGAGTTCTTTCGTACTGTCTGATAATAAAATCAAATTTCTATTCTGTACAAGACAATCCTAATTTAAATTCTAACATATGGAAATAAACAAAGCTAAAGATGAGTGCAATAACAAACTTTTTTTTGTCAACCAACTAGAGTAACAAGAACAGTCCCATAGCTCTATAATACTGTGAAAGATGTCAATAGGTGGACAACATCAAAAAAGAAGAATAACGAATCAGATGAGAAAAATGTGTTTTGCACCAGAAGAAAAAGCAAATGAAAGTATAATTAAATGTAAAAAGAACAGGATATACTGCTATTAATTGTCTAAGAGCATTGATGTTACTTTTTGCTCTTAGTATTCACTGAGGACACAGGTGTCTGCAGTTATCCTTCGGGGAATTCAAGGAGAACAAATCAGTTCATCCATTGCTCATCAATTCTCTAGCAGTGTCCATGAGAATTGAGAGCCACAATTGCTATCCATATCTAACTGTCCATTCCACTCATCGGCTGTTTCAGTGTGCATATACTGCAACCATTGCTATCCATATCCGGCGGGCCATTTTTGTCATCGATCAGAATGTTATTTCTGGAGGAAGATGATATATCTGGAAGTCCATTTAGTCATAAGATAACTTCTGGAAGTCTCGGTTTACTACTACTGTGAAGGAAGAGCTGTCTAGGTATGTTGAATTTATGGAAATTTGATGCTTCATCAGGTTGTGCAAATGTTAAGGATCCCGAAAATGCTAGCAAAGGTTCTGCTCGAAAATCTTGATTTTTGCCATCTCTTTGCTTCACTGTTCTCATTTCTTCTAGTAAAGCTTCACTGGTTTCGATACCTGTTCAATTTTGATGACAAATATAAAACAGACTTTCTGTTCCGATACAAATGATAGTTCTTAAAGATTGCTTTCTCCACGTTGGAAAATGTCTAGTATATTGTATACCTGAAAGGTAAGCTCCATGCACATAGCCATTAAATTTTTCGTTTGTATGTTCCCCGGTGAAATATATCTGTCCAAGTGGTGCCTGAACAAAAGAATTTATAAGGAAAACCAGTTAAGACATGGCATAAATATGGAGGCTCCACCTCCGAATTGCGTTCTCTGAACATATTGTCATTACTTGATATGTCCCACTAACTTCTCGCTTCTACCTTTTTTACCTTAAGTTGGTACTTTTGCTAAAGTAAGTGGATTCCAGCCATCTAAATTAAATACTTATTTCTAAGTATAAGGTTCATTGGTCATTGTATCAAGTGCATCATCAATTTTACAAGTTTTCAAAGAATGGAAGTAAATTCAAACCTTAATATCATCTAAGAGTTGATGATTAATGTAGATAGGATAATTGCTGTAGCTACCACGTTGGAAGCGATTGTTCCACCACCGCGGCACGAGTATGGCAATGGCATCTGGAATGTCAGGTCCAAACATCTTCCTTAGTACTTCCATTGCTTCTATCATGGTTTGTTGATCTGATTGAGCTTCAACACGTTTTGATTCTCCATTTGTCAATGTTACGACAAGGATATTAGACCCTGGATACGCATTCTCCATATGCTGATAACATGGCAACAGATAAAGAGTCATTTTTGTTTTTAATTTAATTGTGAATGACTGATAAGCTATACACATACATGTTCTCAATAATACAGAATTATAAGTCGTTATACGGTTTTATACAGCTGGAATGCACGATTATCACCTTGATTATTGGCAATGACAATAGAATAGAAACCCATGAAGCATACAGAATGAGACATTTGTAAGTATAAACATACTGGTTTTAGTTGACTGAAGAATTTATAATCTTAACATGGGACTCTCATGCTATGTCATTCTCTCACGACAGTGCAAAGAACATGTAGACATTAGCTGCTGCTACTGGCCAACTATATATTGCAAAAAAAAGTTACACAGCATGGAAAATACACACATAAAGTAAAAGAAGCATATTTGTCGAATAAGCTTAACAGCCACTTCCAGCAACATCAGATAGAAGGCTGGGAAAGAAATAATAGCTCTATAATTAGTAAAATGTGTGTAGATGTGATTGATGTGGGATAGTCTCCTTTCACTTTTAATTTTTATTCAGAAAACAGGGCTTGATATTTGCAATGTTATTAGATAGTGACATAAAATCAATTAAATTCATATTATCGGAACTGTAAATATATTGTGACAGTAAAAAGCATCAATCAATAATGTCTCAACAGTTGAACAAAAAATCAAAGGTTGTCCGAAATTTACATTTGTTTTATTAGGAATTAGAATAGCACTGGCTTGACATTATCCTGCATCACTATAAGTTTCATATATATCATTAATAGAGTACTGTAGGTGTGGAGTTCTTCTTTGAGGGGGACTGCTTTCTTCAAGTTCGTATCAAATTTGGACGCTCAAACTTTTTCATGACTCAGCAATAGTTCAAAGAAGCAATGTTTTAAAAATCGACCCAGAAAAGGAAAAGGATTGTGTCAAATGGTCTAACCGGATATCAAAAATAAATAAATACTCCAACAAACTATAAAATATTGTAACAACAACAATTTTCTAAATTTTAGTATTACTAATTCAAAGTTAAATATAAATCATTATTTGTCAATTAGATTTATTATCCTATAGTTTATTTTAAAACATCAAAAACTAACAATTAATGTGTTGAAAATAATTTCCTTTATTCAAATTGAAATTATTTGTGTTTCGGGGGCCAAAATTTTTTTAATTGAAGTGAAGAATTATTAAATATATATCGGTTTTCCAATTAAAATGGCCAGTACAAAGGGCTATTTATAGGTTTTTTCATTTTCAGTTAATATGTTATGACTGGACAGGATTTGAGATCGGTTCCCGATTGAACCGATCGGTCAAGTCCGGTTTTCAAAACATTGCAATGAAGTAATTGAACAATATTATGCCAAGAAAATAACGTGTCTAATATCTGAAGGGACATTTCCTTTTTCAAGTGCAATTAAAATTAATCGGAAAGCCAAATTAAGGAACAACATATCTCGTCCTCATGAAAAAGATGCTATGTGAATGACTCGTTTCCATCAATTCATGAATAGGTATTCATGTTAGCAACAAGATAAGATAAAACAAATTGCTAAAACACAAGAACAAAAAAAAAATTATTATCCGCACCTGCCAGAACGTGTAGTACCCCTGCCGCTCGCTGGCATAGATAAAAAATTCTTTTTCTGGTTGACTGGGCCAGAACTTATGGGGAAACTTCAGGAAGACCTTTGTATACACCTTAATGTCACAATTGGTGATGGCCTCTGTTTTCCATTTCTGTTTCATCATTTCTTTATTGCATTAGTATTTAAAAATTCTTATGAACATGACTGAAGAAGCTGAAATCATATATCTCAGATCAAAGGGGATTACGAATAAATAATCACGAATGTATGAATTTGTTCATAAAGATTCTAAATATACAACAACCAAGCTGTCATACACAGGAAAAACTGCCCATGTGCATTATCCTTTATATGAGTTATACGGGCCGCCAAATGTTTCCATTCACAAGTAATACTCTCCATTGACCTATTCATGGATGCGTTCTAGAAACTTCTATATCTAGCACCAGTAAGGCACGAGGGAACCAGCTATCACCACACCCGGAGGCTTCGTAGGAAGCCTAAGGCCTATCTCAATCAAGCTATATAACTTATTTTCATTTGAAAATATGTCCTATACAGATCACTTCGACCCAGAGGTAAAAGCCTCATGATAGATGCCACTAGTTCCACCAAAGGTAACTCCACCTTCAATGGTGTTTTTGCCCGACATAATTTTTCTTAATGAAGTATTGGATGGTTGTAAGTATCAACTGCATATTTGGTACGCAACATTAGATTGTACTAGACAATGTCAAGGACAAGATTTTGAACATTTTCTCTTCTTTAATACTATCTAATACTCTTCAATATTGTAATATTGTAGATGTGTAGTTTAAAGAGAATAACGAGAAATTATGAAAAGGAGAACTTACAGGCAAGGGTGGTTTAAAGGAGATGAGGTCGCTTTGGAGAACACCAATGCTAACAGACAAAATAATGTAACTTGCTTCGTAAATGCAGCCATCCTCGGTTGTCACTGAAACTCCATTTCTCGAGTGTTGTAATTCCCGAACAACCTGCCCAAATTTATGAACAATAGAACAAATCATCAATGTGCATTTATTCCGAGATACATTGCATGTACCTAACTAAATTCAGAGCAAAAAATCTATTTTAAAAAATAACACTTTTTTGTCTCGTTTGTCTTTTGTATGCAAATAAATTGGTATGTTCACTTACATGACAAATTTTGTGTCATGAAGATTACACAATACACTATTACATAGTTAAAAATTTACTATCCCTGAATAAAAATAAAAAGCTAACCAGCCTCTCCAAAAGTAGAGCTATAAAATGGGTCAGACGGTCGAGTCTTGGCCTGTCACATGACCATCCTGTCTACGTGATTCTTATTTTAGGGGTCTATTTTTAAAAGGAAGGGAAAATAACTAAAGATAGCACCACACCGCACGGCATGACATGTTGTGGGACAAACATGCTAGTCATGTCTTTAGACACGTCATGCTAAAGCATCCCTATCTGTCCACTTTGAACATTGCTTATTTGAACACATACGCTTCACATATTTTGACGATAACAATTACAACGACATTATTTTGATTAAGTATTGATTAGAATATAGAATAAATTTATCATCATGTAATATATATGTATAGATAAAATCATTTAAAAACTTGAAACTAAAATCAAATAAAAATTTTCAAAAATAATAATAATAATAATAAAAGATATTTAAAAAAATTTTAAAAATTAAAATGAAGCTCGCCTAGGGATGCTTAGGCGCCCTTGATCCAAAAATTCGTTAGGGAGCATACTTTCAGTTTGGAGCAAGCTCAATTGAGTTATGGTAAATGAATTGTGGTTGCAAGCAGGTTTTCAAGCCTCAGGGAATTTCCAGCCAACCGTCTTTCGGATCACTCGCCATGTATTATTTCACTTTTCCAATAGGGTGGAGGTAAAGGCAAGCACTTTAAATACTTCAATATGTGGACTGCTCATTCGGATTTTCAGGATGTGGTATCTACCAGTTGGAAGCAACAGATTAATGGCACGAAACAATACATGGGTATGTACAACAAATGTGTGAAATTGGAATTGGAAGGTTTCACTTGATAAGGATTAAACAGTATCCTTTTACGTTAACTTCAACATTCCTCCAAGAGATACAAGAGCTGTCGAGTAAGAGAGAAAAATTCAGCAAATAGTAAAAAAAAAAAAAAAAAAAAAAGGGGGGGAGAAAGAAAAAAAACTCACCAACCTTAAGCTGGGCTCAATTTACCATTTACTTGGAATTAATCTTCTATTTGGGCTACATTACGAGGTAAGCAGAAAATTTTGATTTTATGATTTAGTTAGTTTGTGTGAAGTAAGTAGTGGATCCATCTCTGGGTTTTATTAATTAAAGAGGAATTGTAAATTAATATCAATTACTTATAATTGTTAAGGGAAAACAATAACCAACAGGTTAAGCAAAGGATGTTTGGATCGCGTATCACTCCTAAACATTCTTTCATCCTTTGGCTTAGTGCAAAGTGTAAGCTTCTCACTAAAGACCATCTGCAACACATGGATATGTACAACAAATGTGTGTTTTGTCGAACTTCGGCCTAATCAGTCCAACACCTTTTCTTCCAATGTGTTATGAGTTTAGCGACATGGGCGCAGATTAGTGCTTGGTTGGGTATCACTAGAGCCATGTCTACGACTAATAATGCCTTGAAATGGATAAAGGAGGGACGTCGAATTACTTGACAAAGCAAGGCCAAAAAATTGCGTTGGCCAGCACTATTTACCATGTTTGGACAGCTAGAAATAGGCTTATTTTTAATATCTTAGACAGCAATCCAATTGCATTCTCATACGAATCAAAACACATGTATATAAAGTTATGTTTTCATTGTGTCCTTATATTTTAATTCATTTTGAGTTGTTGGCAATGGGTCTTTAGCTCTTTAATGTTTGTACATCTTTTGATCTTGTAAGCCCGGGTATGCCGAATGTACTTGTAACAAACTGACTGTCTCACTTTTTGTGAATTTTTTTCTGAACTCTTTATATATCCTATTTTGCTTCCATTTTATCTTATTACTGGAAATATGTAATACTTGCTTTATGCTCAAGTGTTGAAAGAAATAATATAATACCTTGTTGAGTTTTAGGCGGCTGTCCAAGATTTTACCCTCTGAGGTAAAAAGAAAGTTTTCTGCCATTTTATACAGCAAGCACTCGTATCCTCTTTCATCGGCTACCAAGAATTCTCTCTCTCCAAAATCTATATATGTTGATATTGGTTCAACTTCTGTAAAACGTAAACCAAACCCAATTTTCAGATTCAAATGGAATTAAATATATTTTATTTATTAAAAAAAATTACTGTGAGATGTAGCGTGGCGTGGAAAAAATCATAAATTGAACTGACCTGCCATTTCAAAGTCGTGCAGAATGAAGTCTATTGCCAGTTCAATTGGTGTCTTCGGAACTCTGCAGAAATCAGAATACGTTGGCGTCTCAGCAAGGACTGGAACATTAGCATCACGATTAGATTCTTCATTCCTCAGCGTCCTAATGGCAGACTCCACCGCCTTCTTGTATGAATCCGCCGCTATTCCACTCGGAAATATTTTCCCGCTGCAAAAAGGAGGAATCGCTCACAAATTTGATTTCAATAATATAATAAATCAGTCCAGTAATTAATAAAGAAATTCTGCCTTAACTGAGTCACCGTTAACACATAGCATTGCCTTATCAGATTGATTAAGATCTCAAAAATATATGAACTAGCTGATTAAGAACAAATTACTTTGTTAATTACACCTCACAGCCAACCTGTCAATGTTAATCAAATTTAAATGCAAAATAGAAAAATAATGACCAAAAATTTAGTCAATCACGCATTAACTGAATGTGCAAACGCGTACGCGTGAGAGAGATTAATGAATCACATATAAAGGAAAACACAACCTGTCATCGTAAATGTTGTAACGGGCATTGCTGTAATCAGAGAAGCATGTACGGAGGTTCGATTGTCGAGCGAGTTCCCAGACTGGATTGGACTGTTTTCCGCCGACGCCGGCGATCCAACCGGCTCCAAGCTCCACAGTCACACCGCCGAACTCCTCCTTCCTTATTCTCCCTCCAATCCTATCCGCCGCCTCTAATATCAGCACGTCCTCCACCCCATTCTCGGCAAGCAATTTGGCCGCCGAGATTCCTACAGATTTCGGCAAACGCAATTCAACGTACACACAATATACGCGAAATTATACATCTCTGCATCACATATTTATTCGTGCATACCTGAAATTCCAGCTCCAACTATGAGAACGGAGCATCGAGTAGTAGTCTCCATGAAGATTTTCAAAATTTACAGAGAGAGATTTTAGCGTTTGAGTTGGAGAGGAAGAATAATAGGTGGAGTCGGTTAATATAGTTAGTTATACGATGCACCCGTCCCTTTAGTTCCTGCCGCTTTCGAGTTTACCGTAAAAAGGAAAAAAATCTGAACTTATTGTGACAGATTTTATTCCCAAAATACTGAAATTTTGGGTTAAATTTTAAAAAATCTATACTTATTGTAACAGATTTTATTGCCATAACGTGAATTGTGGCAATAGGGAAAATATTAAAATCTTTTAACCAATCAAATCTGAGATGATAATAAATTCGTTTAATTAAGGCCAAAATACGGGAGATCAAATCTGAGACATCAATTTTTTTTTTCCTACTAAAATTTGACACTAATAATAAGTTTATAGAAACTTTATACATACTTTCAAAATTTTCAATGAAATAATAAGTTTTAAGATTATAGTATGAAGTACATAAGGGGTTAGAGTTTATGATGAAATGGGACCGTCGCAAGACATTAAAGTGTGGTTTTTTGATTTCATGATAATTTTGGGTTTGTTCATTTTTGACGAATTGTTAGTCTAATTCGATTGGAATCGAGCCAATGAATAAAACTCAGTGCCTTTGGCCCTGATGCAAGGCCAATTTTGGCAAAATCCATCGTTTAGGTCCTCGTTTAGGCTTTTTTGCTATTTATGGTAGTTTTTATTTTTGCAATATCTTTTTCTATAAAATTCGGATTTATGTTCCGTTTGTTTGAGGATGATCCTAAAGATAAGGATTTTCCATCTTAGTAGTTATCTCATATTTTTCTATTTTTGGAAAAATATTTTTTATTCTATTTTCCAAATTTTGCTTGGTTTTCTTTTCTATTTAAGGCGTTGTAAGCCTTTTGAGACGACGGTTCTTGAATTCAATAAAATTTCCTTTGAGAGTTTTCTCATTTTGTGATTGTTCATCTTCCCTATAATGTTCCGCCACGTCAGTTATGTAATTTAGATAGTATCGTAACTTAAATTTTATCTAACTCTTTATCGATTATAGTCTTTTTTAACTTTTGTATAAATAAAGTCATTTAAAAACTTGAAACTAAAATCAAATAAAGGATTTTTAAAAATAAATAAATAAACAAACTAAAGTCAAATAAAAGACTTTTAAAAAGGAAAAAAACTAAAAAAAAATTTAATGAAACTTGCCTACGGATGCCCAACCATTCTTCCCTAGATGCGCGTAGGCATGCCCAGCCATTGATCACTTAATTCGTGCTTATTGCCACGGTGAGACATTTTGCCCGTGCCTCGTGCGTATGTGCACTTTTTAGAACATTGCATATCTAAACACATATGCTTCACATATTCTAACGATAACAATTGCATTCTTAGATATAATTGCATCGTCTATTATTTGTTTATCAATATTTTGATTAAGTTTTGATTAGAACATAACAAAAATTTATGTATCATCATGTAATATATACAGGAAGTACAAGAGAGATACCTTCAAGACACCATATCGAAACCATTAAGTCAACAATATGATAAACCAATTTTGATAGTTTGCTATTTAGTTTTTAAATGTTAAAATGGTTTTAAAATGCTTAGCATAACATGGTTTCATATGCTATTTTATTCCTTAAGTTCCTTTGATTGTTATACATCACTATGTTATAAATGCTATCCCGAATGACAAATACATCACATTCCTACACAGTTCTGCAAATATTTATTTATGTTCGGTAAAAAAATGCAAAAATAGAACTTGCAACATTTCGCAACATGTTTCGCTCCATAAATTATATATATGTTATAAAAGAATATGTTATTCTAAAAAATGTGAACGGAATGACATATTATGTTCTGATACATTGGTCTAAATATTTTTGTGTGCATGTTGCTATGCAATTGCACAGAGTAACACCAGACCGCATCATCTTTTATTATATAACTTACATCCATTGCGAGATACTAAGATACATTGTGTCTCAAACCATGTATTAAAAATGCGTAGCAATTTCTAATACATTATTGTGTATATTTTGATTAGATATATGCTGAACAAATATTAGTTGCAATAAAACGTGCTAGTAATGTGTTAAATAACATACTGGAATGCCCTTACGTATACATGACATTTCATTTTTACTGGGATTTTTTCATATGTCTATTGATGACCCGTTAGTATTGTAATGCATTAATTAAAAAAAAAAAGTCAACTACGTCACAAAAAAAAGGAAAAAAAAAAGAGATAAAGCAAAATTGGTAGGCGGTGGAGTAATATATATAAACCAAACTCATACAAATCCAAAAACATTTTAAAACATATACAAACATACGCAGAGAGAAATAGAAACAGGGAGAAAGAAAGAGAAAAAGAGAAAGAGAAGATAGAAAAGAGAAAGGGGAAAGAAAAGGGGGAAGAAGAAGAAGAAAAAAAAATAGAAATTCTTTGCCAAAGTGTTAGGAATTAAGTGGTCTACATTATTAGGCTTGAATTCCTCAATTTTGAAAGGTAAGTAAAAAGTTACTTATTGTCAAGTTATGTTTGATTTTATAGTTGTTAGATTGTTAGATTAAATTCAATTTTATTGAAGGGTTAAGTATAATAAACTATGAAATTGAGTAAGATGAAAGAAAAACTACTTTAGTGAGTAATTTAAGTAATTATTGAAATTACTTAAAATAATTAATTGTTGATTTAAAAACTATATCATATTTCAGGTGGCGATACAGATATCAGGACAACTTACCAACCGGGTTGGTTTTGCGAACATAGTACTACTGTGGTGGGAAAATATAAATATTTTTAAAGTATTTATAAATTAAGCTCCCGTTTGGTAGCTATTTTTTTCAAAATTCATTTTTCTCTCTCTTCTTTTCAATCACATATTCTTTATTAAAATAATATTATACGTAAATCAAAAACTTTTCCTTGTTTCTCAACCACACATTTCACATCAATTTACTATTCTAAAATGCATTTTTATATAAAAATGCCTATCAAACACCCCCTAAGTATATTGTTAAAGTATGTGCAATTATATGTAATTATGTGTTCAAATGACATGGTTATTATGGAAATATCTTTTATTATGATACATGTGGGATTTCAAAGATTGTATATGGTATATTGTGAATTGGAATATGAGATGTGGTTTTGAGATCGACCAGAAAAGTACCCGTGATTATATATTTCTTCTAGTTCACTGAGGGGCCTTGGCCATGTTCTATACTATACTGAGGGGTCTTTGGACCGAGGATGAAGGGTCTCGATCGTGTACATATAGTTCACTGAGGGGCTTTGACCATGTTCTAGAATTGATTACCGAGGTCTTTGAGACCAGCTTTCGTTCACGGAGGGGCCAAAGGCTCGTGGCAAAAGTTTTTAGCCCGAGGGGCGGATTACAGATTTTAGTCAGAGGGTACATTTTTGGTGGATTTTTCAGTATGTTTGATGTGATGAGATTATAGCGTGGTTATGAGCTGATATTTATATCATGATTTTAAGATGATATTTTACGACCTTATGTGAATATTTCACTTTTGGTTATAATTACATGATGCTATTGATAAGTGTGCTTTTATACACCTATTTAGCTCACAAACATGACTCTAACATGGACAAAGTAGTTGAATTATGACTTAATCTTGTTAAATTCATGCTATGTAGGTGTTTCTATGGAAAAGATGGAATTCAGAAGAAAAGAGCCGAAAAAGAACCAAAACAGAACAAAGCGATAGTTCGAGGACCAAGTTGCAAATAATCCATAGATGAGACGGGAAATGGAATGAAGATTCAAGAGTGTTAAAGGTCAATCGGATGAGAAAAGGAGTCAAAAGGTGAAACATGGTCGAAGTATTATCAAGTTTAACTTTCAGGTGAAAAAGTTATGCTCGTGATTTTGAGTCTCTATTTGAGATCCATTTTTGGCATAGTAAACATCAGAATTTGAGGAAGCCTATTTCTATCAAAAGTATATACCTTTGAGTTTTCTTCCCAATGAACTTTGAATCATTTCAATCGGAGATCAGTAGAGAAAGTTATGACCAAAATATTGAAAGCTGTTCGAAGGAAAATTTTTATAACCATGCGGCCGCATGGTTATAATTCCTTGCGGCCGCACAGGGTCTAGCAGGGTTTCAATTGAGTTGAAAAATTGAACCATGCGGTCGCATGGTTTAACACCATGCGGCCGCATGGCTTTGAGTTCGATAAAAAATTCTGAAATCCCGTTTTTAATTGAAACTCTTTTGGGGCTCCGTGAGGACATGATATAAAAGTCAAAATTCATCAGAAATAGGGCAGAACGTCCAGGGAGAGGAAGAATACAACTTTTGGAGGCAAGGAACACGAACTTGAAGCGGATTTCACAAGGATTCAAAGGGGTTTTCAAGGTTTTGTTCAAGAATTCAGATTTCAAGAACTTTCACATGGGTGTTATTCCTTCTATTCATTAATTTCGTTTTGTTTTCTGTAATTATGAATCTTCTAGGTAAGGTTTTAATTACTAGGTGATCGATGAATCGTTGTTTGTTATTTTAATTCTATATTTCATGAACTTGGTATAAAGATTCGTTGGATAATTTGATTGATTTACATGCATTAATTTTCTTCTGCAATTAGTGGCCAATGATTGTGTGAGTATTGATGACTTGTTTCTTACATTCGAGAGAAGTGGAATATGTTCGATAAGGTGTAAATTAACATAGGGTCCGATAGGGGATAGAGATATACCCCTATGCTTTATGTAATTCTTAAATTGTTCACAAAACTACATGCATTCGTGTATGTTTGCATCATCCATAGAGATATAGGCTGGTGGTGTGCAAGAATAGGTCTAATAAATATCGAGAGAGTATATTGGATAGAATTAGGAACATTGAATTGGCAAATTTTCATCGAATCACTAATTTTATGAAATTAGGGTTTTTATAACTTCAATTGGGGATTTGTGATCCTAGTGACTTTAGTTTGACTCATTTTAATAAATTAGCTTTTAAACTTGCTTAATTTCATTTACTTAAGTGTGTAA